CCACTTGTTCAGATCGATGCAGCACGGCTTGAGTGGTACACGCTTCCGAAATGTTGAAGAAGTGCGAGAATGGGTGGACGAATGGATTGCTTCGAAACAAACATCGTTTTATCGAGATGGTATCGCCCAGTTGCCAGAAAGATGGCAAAAAGTTGTAGAAAGTGATGGAAAATACTTTCATTGAAATAATTTAAATAAATTTTTTACAATAAATGCTTTTTCTCAGTATTTTTTGGGCGGAAACTAAGTTAAGGTCCTAATATTTCTTCAAATTTTATAGTGAAAACGAAAATAATAATTTAAAATCATGGGGTAACATGTGGAGTCCGATTGACTCTAAAGGATCATATGAAGGTCACAATGCTTCGTTGTGGTCACAAAGAAACACACGTGTGAAATCCCATTAATAAATTTCTTTAATAGTCGTAGCATTGTGACCTTCATATGATCCTTTAGAGTCAATCGGACTCCACATGTCACCTCATGATTTTAAATTATTATTTTTGTTTTCACTGTAAAATTTGAAGAAATGAAAATATTAGGCCACTCGAGGTCAAACCAATGATATCATCTTATGTTCCCCTCGAAATCCCAAAACTTTTATCTGAAACATTTTTTCCTAAAATGCGCTGTTCAAGAGATATTTGAGGTGATCGATTAAAACGGGACACCCTGTATATTCTATCAGACATACATAAAATTTACTATTAACATATTCTACATATTCCTTGAATATACTTATGATATACTGTGGGACATTCTCAGTATATACTGAAGAAGCGAATAAGAATATACGAATGTTCTTAGTATATTCTTAGTAAAACATAGTATGTATTTCGAACATTCAGGGGATATACACAATCTACTTTTATGATATTCTCCGAATATTCCCTGAATTTATTATCTACCTGTATTAGGATTTTTAATAAATATTGAGCGACGGCTAGGATCTTTTTATTGTTATTCAGGAGGATGAGCTTTATAATATATGTCAATGTCAAAGTCATTGGAGCAGCCTCCCCTAAACAAGAGTTCTACCATAGCTTATTTTGTTGATTACTATAGAGAGTACCGCAGTTTTTTATGGAATAATATTCCCAAACATCTAACTTTAAATTCTTCAAAGGGAGATAACAGGAAATATCTACTGTTCCATTTCAGAAGTAGTGTAAAACTAAATATTTCTGATTTTCGATCCAACGAAGAAAGTGAGCAAACATGGCAACTAATATTTGGGACTCGGAATCCGAAATATGCAATGGGGGACATCTGGAGAAGACGAATTACTCCCAAGCTATTTCAGCGATCGCTAAAGATGCAAAAAGCGCACAGAAAGGATACAAAGTCCATAAGAAGATCGAGGAGTGGTTTGGCTTCAAGGATGAGCTCAAGTGGACGCATATTATGCAAGCGATTATACTTCATATATGTGCACTGTACACCTTGTACGCCGTAAACATTTTCGAAAACATTACAACATTTACCTGGAGTGAGTATCCTTCGAAATTTTCTCCGATTTTCTTCATTAATTTAGTTCTTCGTAAAAACACTAGTGCTATTAGTCTGAGCCGGCAACTTTTACAAGATGCCTAGCAATTAATTATACACCTGCAGGTAGAATTCATCCCATACAGCACAAATGTTTAATAAATATCCTAAGAATATACTACCTAGATAGAAAAATGTGTTCATTTTGAGCTCATATTGTATTTATGTATCTTCAGACATGAGGACAAGAATAGACACCTCAGAATGTAGATGTCATAAAAATATCTTATTTAATAATAATAATCAACATCATGTCAAGAATTTGCAACATAATTTGTACATCATTTATGTGCATCTGGTGCTCATGTCATGAGATCACATAATGATCTTTAAAAAAGTATCAAATTGGTGTCATAGTATGAAGTCACATTGTGATGAAACATGATCATCACGCATTTCTATCTGGGTAAGTCCTGATGAAAATTGAAATTGGAAAGTAAATAAAATGTAAACGAAGAATGACGGAAGTGTAAGTAAAGCGCTTACAAAGCGTAAATTGAAGCATCGGAACGTAAAGCAAGCAGATACGCTTGCTTTTCGTTCCGATATTTAAATTTACGCTTCACTTACACTTCCGTCACTCTTCGTTTACACTTTATTTACTCTCCAATTTCAATTTTCACTTGGGAAGAATATTCGAATATTCTTAGAACGTTCTTAGGATATCTTCTGAACATTTGTGCTATATGGGATCAAACTGAACACAGAATTTCTCGCAAGTAACGTAAAATTTTGAATTATTAATTAAAGAAGATTGGTAAATGATTGTGCGTGATAATAAGGATCACATTGTATTTTCTTTGTATAATTTTTAAAAACATGATTTATAACATAATTAATTGTTATTACATTGCACGCGCGTGCGTGCGCATACATACATGCGCGCATGCACGCACGTACACACAGAAAAGGATTATCTATTATCGCGCGAAATTTTATGAGTGTCAATTTAATCTCGTCGATTGAATTTGCTTAAAGCAATCTTCCTGCTCGTGATACAAGTGATCGGTGTCACTGGTGGAGTTCATCGTCTTTGGTCACATCGAGCTTATAAAGCCAAATTACCGCTTCGAATTCTGATTCTCATTTTCTACCTCATATCTGGCCAGGTATTGAAAGAATCTGTTAATTCTGCCATTATGGAGAGACATTTATACAAAAGATAGATACCTACGTAGAAATGTTGAAGCGGTCCAACATTGGGACAGTACCGATTGCCGTTGTACCAGTACTGGCTCCTAGTGTTGTACCAGTATAGATTCAGTACAGGAATGTAACACTTTGTCGTACTGGTTAAACACGTGCACCAGCACTGACACCAACTTTGATATCAACTTCGCATCAATATTGGATATATAACTGGCCTGCTATCTGGGAGACGATTTTACTGATGCAGTTAGTATGGGTTACATTTATCCTAATATGTTTAGTTGCATTAGTATGAGTGTACGTGTGTATGTATATGATAATAAAAAAATATTTGATATACATACTAAATGCTCCGAATAATTTTTATTAAAATTCTAAAATATTCATAAACACATAAATTAAATTATAATATAGAACATAATCTAATATACAGAGTGTCCCGCGTAAGACGTCCAAGAAGAAAAAGATAAGTAGAATAGATAAAAGTGAACAAATATTGTAGAAGTCATTTTTCAAACAACCACGTAAAATTTCGAAATATTAATTAAAATATTTGGGCTAATTAGAACGCGGTGACGCGCAGGCGGGACATACGGCTCGCCGCAGCCGGCGAAGAAAATGGACGATTGCTCGCGGATCTACCTTATATTATAGACCAGAGAGGTGGACTATTTGGCATACTGAAATAGGTAGCTTCGTGTGTGCGTCCGTGTACGTGTGCGCTCGTCCATTTTCTTCGCCAGCCGCGGCGAGTCGTATGTTCCGCCAGCCACGTCGCGCGTTCTGATATGCCCAAATATTTCAATTAATATCTCAAAATTTTACGTGGTTGTTTGAAAAATGACCTCTACAATATTTGTTCACTTTTATCTGTTCTACTTATATTTTTTTTGTTGAACGTCTTATGTGGGATATCCTGTATATATGTGTATATGTATGTATGTGTGTGTCTGTGGCTGTGTACTTTAAAGTCTGAATAAAAATTATTTAGAGTATTTATATTATTTCATACACACATATACATTTACGTACGCATGGCACGCACGTACACATACACGTTTTCTAAAAATATAGAATAAAATTAATGTGTAAAATTTAAAAACTTCTATAAAAAGAAAAACTATGTGTGTATTAAAATAAAACAATAATATTTTGTTATTAGAAACTGTACTATTTTGTAATTTCCATATATAAAATTTCAAGTGTGGGTTTCGTAATATACTTGTAGATTAAGGTCATTCTAAATAAGAAAGTTTTGTACTATTTCGTAATCGTTCAACCTAAAACTTGGAATTATTACTCAATAAATATGAACTAACAATAATATAACATTAATGTTACGATTTCCCACTCAACAATGTAAATACGATATAAGGCATGTATAATATACAGGGTGAATATTATATACCGGAACACTTGAATATCTCGAAAACAAAGCGTTGTATAAAAAAATGTTAAATACAAAAGTTGTAGGGTTTAAAAAGATCTATTTTGTGATATTAGCAGTTTGACCTTGAGTTGCGTCATAAAGATCAGGTCAAGGTCACAATGATGTTTTTAAATGGATACCCCCATTTTTTATTGCATATTCTTGTAGCTTAACTCGAGAGCTTTCCAAAAT